TCATGCTTTCTAAATTCTCAAATTTGGCCTACAGTTCGAGGTGGAAGGGTAATTTCAATAGACTTGAGGAAATATTTTAGTATCAGAATTTCTGGTGGAATTCTTATTTAAAATATTTGGTGGTTTTCTGAGAGTGCTTATTTCTCAGGCAACTAGACATGCAAGGCGAGTTTATGTGGGTGGACTTCCTCCGAGTGCAAATGAACAGGTAAATTTTCTTCATCCTATTTAGTTCAGATGTTTTGATTATTTTACTTATATAGTTAGCTTGGGTTCCCTATATTCAGAAAATTTGGTAGTCAAAGAGTTACCTTAGTTTGTTAGTCTGCGGGTGGTTTTCGTATATCTTTGACTCAATTCCATCATTAGTCATCCCCTCTTCATAACTTATTTGAATCTATCATTTTCTTGGCATGGATGAGGGTGGCTTGAATGTCATGGGCTACAGACCTGCTTTCATTTTCACTCAAATCTCTCTTGTAGCTTCAGCTTAGTTTTAGCTCAACTTTTCTGTCTATATTATCCCTAGACGATACCAGTGTCTAATTCGAGAAATTGCTTCAGTTATCAGCTGAAACAATGAATTAGAAATTCATGAAACTTGACATCACGATTCAAGCATTCTCTGGATAAGCATCATCTCACATGCACTTTATTAACTTCTCCATTTTTTCCTAGAAAATAAAAGTAAGTGATGCTTTCTAGCCTTTTAATGAGCCTTGAGAGATGCATTTAAGTCATTTACTGAGAAATATTGAATCTTTACAGTGCCAAAATGTTCACCAACAAACACAAAGGGCCTCATTTGTATGGGCAAATGAACTAAGGAATATATATAGGTGCATACTCTAGGAATATACTAGCTATAGGAAAAGGAAACCTTTTTTATCTTGAAAAAGATGAGAGGAAACACATTAAAAAATTATAGAGATGGTAGAAATTATACTTTATATGGGGTCCTTCAAGTTTGGGTTTGACTTATTTCTAACATTAGTCTATTCTTATGTTGAAGGTTTTGTGACTTCTTTTTTCTTCTATAAAGAGAAGAATTATTTCTAGAACTAGTAAACCACTTGTTCAATAAATTTTGAACTTACAAATGAGATGTATTTTACTTATTTGGGCTGTACATAATTGTCTTCTGATAATATTTTATTGTTGTGCAGTCAGTGGCTACCTACTTTAATCATGTTATGTCGGCAATTGGTGGAAACACTGCTGGTCCAGGTTAGTCAAATTGAACTGTCTTCAGGTCTTAACGCAACTATGCTGTACCTATAATGCTTTAATTTTTCAATGTGTTTTCCAGGAGATGCTGTTGTTAATGTTTATATAAACCATGAGAAAAAGTTTGCTTTCGTTGAGATGAGATCCGTGGAGGAGGCCAGCAATGCCATGGCCTTAGATGGCATTATCTTTGAGGTAATCTACCTTTCTAGTTTAGGGATCAGTTTGTTGGCTTCTGAATCACTTGCAAAGACGGTATGTGAAAGGTTGGCCTGGATTCACGTATAGGCTGGTATTTGTTAAAATTCTTACCTTCATCTGAGGCATGCATTTAATGCTGGTTGTATTGTTTTTTCTTTGTATTGGTTCTTTTTCTGCTGGTTCCCTTTACTTTATAGTGGTTGATTCTTTTGCATATGTAGGACTTGTTTTGTAAGTACTATTTTTGGGGAATAATAATTTATCAGCCTTGGACTATATTTAGTTCACATTGGAGGAAACTCAAGTTTGTGCTAATATCGTCTCTTCTCGCTGTAGGGAACACAAGTAAAAGTTAGAAGACCAACTGATTATAACCCCTCCCTGGCTGCAACACTTGGTCCGAGCCAACCAAATCCAAACCTTAACCTTGCTGCAGTGGGATTATCACCAGGATCCACTGGTGGGCTTGAAGGTCCTGACCGTATTTTTGTGGGAGGCCTGCCATACTATTTCACTGAAGCTCAGATTAGGGAGTTGCTTGAGTCCTTTGGCCCTCTTCGGGGGTTTAATCTGGTCAAAGATAAAGAAACTGGAAACTCGAAAGGCTATGCCTTTTGTGTTTACTCTGACGTGTCTGTTACAGATATTGCATGTGCAGCTCTTAATGGGATTAAGATGGGTGATAAAACTCTTACTGTCAGACGTGCAAGTCAAGGTACTTTACAGCCTAAGCCAGAGCAGGAGAGTATATTAATGCATGCTCAGCAACAAATAGCACTGCAGGTAATGTTTATCCTTTTGTTATTCAATCTGTGTTGCTTTTTGTTTCTTTCCTTTGCTTGTTTGGACAATTTATTCAAGGCTGTCAAATTCTTACTGTTTCTTAAGGGGAAATGTCGACTGATCATTGGGCCTGTGGCTTGCTTGTGGCTTTTGATTTGCAGAGACTCATGCTACAACCTGGTGGACCTCCTACTAAAGTCTTATGCCTAACAAATGTGGTTAGCGCGGATGAGCTCAAAGATGATGAAGACTATGAAGATATAGTGGAAGATATGAGAACTGAATGCGGGAAATTTGGTAAATACATTCAGTTACTTCAGAAGCATCAAGCTAGTCTTGTTCTTTCCTTTTGAATACTCAAGCTTTATATTTAATAGCTCTTTTATGTTTTTATGTGGCATAAATCTTCGCAAGTCTTTAATATCATGAGCTTTAGCCATAAATATAATTGGCTTAATTTATTTTTGGGTTTCACAATTCTTCTTATGTGAAAAGTTATACTCTCTTTCTTCAATTTGCAGGTAATTTAGTGAGTTTAGTCATCCCACGCCCAAGGCCTGATGGTGAACCGACACCAGGGGTTGGAAAGGTTAGTAATTCAGTATGCACCATGATGCTTTCTGCACAATTTAATTATGCACCAATATACCTTTTAAAAAAAATATAAACCCGTGCACCAGTATTCTACGCAAATATAAACACTACCAGCATTCTTAGGATGCTATACAGGTTTTGACATAATCGCTTGGTTTTATCAGCAGCAACTTATAGTATTTCAACAGTTAGTAAATCCTCAAATTGATGCTTTTGGACCACCGCTGAAAGACTTGTGCTATAACCTTGTTTCCGTGTTTATTAAGTATATTTGCTGTTGGCTATCCTCAGGTCTTTTTGGAGTACACGGATGTGGAGGGTTCCTCGAGAGCTCAACAAGGATTGAATGGCAGAAAATTCGGAGGAAACCCAGTTGTTGCTGTCTTTTATTCGGAGAACAAGTTCTCTGAGGGGGACTACGAGGGCTAGGTATCTGCTCTCTGTCTTGGCGCAGACATCCAAAACGATGTAGTAAATAGCTATCGGCCTCCCTTGGAATTCTTTAGTTGTACTCTAGTTTCCTTTCTTTAACGGAAATGTTTGTTTGGTCTGAAGATTCCATGTGACCAACTATAAGCCTAGCTGCTGCTTTTATTCCCAGCTATTGTAGAGCTAGTAGGAAACCTGTATGCCTAGTCAAGAGGCGCGCGCTTGGCGTATGCGTGGCGTGATGTTTGTAGTCTGTGCATTATTACTTTTAACATAAATTTAACCATCCTAGTTTTCTTTGGACTAATAAATCATTGGATTCAATTTTTATGTTATCATTATATTTTTATGTTATAGGAGGTAATTTGGTAAATACTTATTTGCATAGAGTGTTTAACTTATATGTTTTGCATTTTTTGATCTGATATCAACACCGAGTTTTACAAAACTTTATAATAAGGCTCAACTATATTTAATAAACTAGCTCATGCGTTCTCTTTCCAATGGCACAAGCAAAAAGTGGTTTCAACATGAATACATAGTATTCTTTTCAAGTGTAACAGTGAAAAGCGGAATACAAGAAATTTATTACTGAATTTAAAAGTCTATATGTATAAATTTACAAAGAATATATATCTAATTGTTTAATATATGTAGCTCCCGAAGTCCTCTTTCCAACAGCATAAGCAGATCGTAATTTCAACTTGCCATTGGAGAGATATATTTTTTTTAATTAGAGCGTGCAAAGCTGTAAAAACCAAAATTGTTGAAATTCATAACTGGGTTAAAGAATATCTGTATGAATGTACAAAGAATTTGGACCTGATTTTTGTAGATATTGTAGTTTTAGACGTTTTCTTTCTAACAACATAGCATGGTTTTAAAGTATCTGCATAGAGATGAATTTTTAGTAACAAAAATCAGATATCTAAAATTCAGAACTTAATTCAAAAACATATCTATATAAATCTACAAAGAATATTAACCTTATTTTTGTATATACCGTAGCTCTAGAAGTTATCTTTCCAACATCACAAGTGGATTATGGTTTCTTTCAACATGCTAAATAAAACAATGCATACAAAAGACATTATCATCAAAAAGAAAATCTTAGTAATTAAATAGTTTAAAATTAAACAGAAGAAACGTACCTCCTCAACAATTGGTAGATTGAATTTCGAAAAACTGCTTTAAATACTACATTTGTAGCTTCAATAGTTATTTGTCTACCATCATTAAAAATAATAACTAATAATTAATTATTAACTAAATAACTAATTATTAACTACTTATACATGTGAGTTTTTTCTATCCTACCACTTGGCTTATGGAGAGTACTTTTTCCACTCCTTTTAATAATATATAGAAGATACAAATTTTTCTTTTCTTTTCATTTTTTTTAAAAAAAAATAAATTTTACTGTAGTATTTTCATCAAATTTGATGAATTGACTCGCTTTTGAGAGCGTGTAAGCACGTAAATTTCTGACTCAGTAAAATAAATACCACATAAGCTTAATTAAGTGTCAGAAGAGTTTAAAATATTTAGTTTGATCAAGTTGGAGTGTTTGGATGAAATCTCGGTAAGTAGGGGGAGCGGAATGTCAAACCCGAACAAATAAAGGTATGTGTTAGGCTATTCTGCTAAAATAAAAAGAATAGTGTCAAGGAAAAATAAAAACTGAGTAGCGGGGTCCAGCACTCAGCAGTAAACAGTGGGGTCCACACAGATATTTCCTCCCCATAAACCCTAATTTGGAGCCAGCCATTTATTCTAAAACCCTAAATCCTAAACGCAACATTCACACAACTCCAAAATCTCATCAAATCAAAACAAATGGATTCTCAAAGCAACAATGAGAATCAAAATTCAGCAAGTACAAGTACTCACGATTTAAAACCCTCAAAAATCAAATTTCAGTACGAGGAGGACGACGAGCAGGTAGTAGAGCAAGGCGATGAAACTGTTACGGAAAGTTCAAACCTTGAAATCGACGAAGATACTTCCATGTGTGACCGCGCTGCCGCCGCCGCCGCCGCCGCCGCCGATGATGATTCAATTGTCGACGGCGATAAGACCAGCGCCGACTATTATTTCGACTCGTATTCTCATTTTGGTCAGTACAGTTTAATTCATTGTAGTTCGTTATTTACTTTGTTTTAGCTTAATTTAGTACTGAATTTGAGTTTCTACAAGTATTGAGAATCTCATTTTTTCTTTGGGAAGTTCAACCCAAAAAAAGAAAAAGAAAAAGAAGCAGCTTTGGAGTAGAAAAGAGCTAAGGAAAACTTAATCAGCTTTTGCGAAAACTGAGTTTGAATATTTTTTACTTTTTGATTTTTGCAATTCGAGGTAACTGGTTGACTGATGTAAACTACACTTATTTTTTGCTTTAATTGTTGTGACTACAATTTTTTATTTATAATGGTGGTCTCCTGACTAGTTTGCTTTCTACTACCTCCTATCAAGTCTTAGGAATTTGGGAAGAAATCAACTAGTTTTTTTGCCTCCACTTGGATTTGAACCTGAGAATTCATGGTTCTCCACCAACTTTATTAACCACTAGGCTATATACTTGGGTGCAATTAAACTTCAATATACTTCAACCTATGTCTCTCCTTCCTAGTTTTTGGTCTAGGTATTTGGAATGTAGTTAATGCTATAAAATATTCAGTTGTTGGAGGAAAACCTTTCGGAAATAGCCTCTCTACCCTAATAAGGTAGGGCTAAGGTCTGCCTACACTTTACCTTACCCAGACCCCACTTGTGTGATTTCACTGGGTTTGTTGTTGTTGGAGGAAAACCTTTCTTGCTCATAGATAAGCTATCTTTTCGCGTAGTCATTGGTTTTTCAATATTCTTTGTGGATTAAAGTATCTTTTTTTATGTCTCAAATTTTTCAGTAACCTATAATACCCCACTTGACCCTCAACTTTTATTACCAGCTGACACATTTATGCATATTTGCTTGGTCTGATATTACTTTTAGTGGCTAATTTTTCCTCCTTTGTTTTATTGTTGTTTTTGCAGGTATTCATGAAGTAAGTATCCATCTCTCTTTGCATTTTCGTGCAAGTTTGCATCTTTTGTTGATAAAATTTTGCTTAAAGATGATTTTTACATGGTTCTATTGTAAATTTGCCTTGTTAACAGGAGATGTTGAAGGATGTGGTAAGAACTAAGACTTACCAAAATGTAATCTATAAAAATTCCTTTCTTTTCAAGGACAAAGTTGTCCTTGATGTGGGAGCTGGGACAGGAATCCTGTCACTCTTTTGCGCAAAAGTCGGTGCCAAACATGTTTATGCGGTATGCATTCCACTTGTTCCTTGTTCTCATTTAATACTTGCATTTCTATATTGTGTAATTTCTTGTTCTTTTGTGATTGTTCCGTGGTGGCTATCTTGTGGTGGCTGTCCCACCGTGCACTATGTTGGTTTTTGAAAAATAAGAAACAAGGAAATAACAGAGGAATTGCTAAGAGAAGTATATTGGAATAGATGTAGCTAAGAACTTCATCTTTCAACTTACGGCATCAAAATTTCTGAAGTTTCAAGAGGCCAGAATTCGAGAGTTGGCTGAATATGTTTCCAAATGTCACATTCCCCGTAAAATGCCTGACATTTCCACAACATTACCAGGAGATACCTTCCTTGTAAGATCTCCTCTGAAATGCAGTCATTTTTCTGGGAATGTGACCTTTGGGAGCATGTTCAGCCAACTCTTGAATTTTGGCCTCTTGAAACTTCAAAAACTTTGATGCCCTAAGTTGAAGGATGAGGTTCCCTTTTGCTTTATTTACCTTGCAGCAATAGGATGGACAGTCAAACAAAGGCATGAATACTCTAGCAATTACTTCCTGATAGTTATCAAATCCACATTCTTTACATGTATATACAGCCACCTGCATCAGTGGATTGACGTCTGAACAGCGTGTCACAATACCAGATATCCTGACAAGCTGACCAATATATGAAGCCTTGTCTTCCTGAATTGTAAATGGCTGACCTTTTGGAGATGCTTTGAGGTACACTTCATCGAATCGCTTGATCTCAGGAGGCATCTTTTGTTTTGGATCAGAACCATCAGTGTTCTCAGTTCCTTTCTGAAATTTTTGGGCATGAGGATATCAGGAAAGCTCTTGTTCTTCTTCTTCAAGTTCAAGGATGGTATGCAGATCAGAGGAGATTTACATATATGTTTGATGGGTGATCCTGGGGTAGCAAAATGTCAGCTTCTCAAACACATAATCAATGTGTCAGCCTTTTCAAGATCGGCATCCATAGTTGCTCGATCTAAGATTTGCCATAAAAGATCAAACCTTGATATAAGAGCCGGAGGAAGATTAATATTTTCAGCTGACGTTGTCCTCATATCATATCTTCCTCCGGCAGGATTAGCAGCAGCAAGTACTGCAGTCCTTGCATTCAGAGATGTAGTGGTCAAGCCTTTTCAATGCTAACAGTCATTACTTCATGAATAGCTGTTCTATCAGACTCATCCAACCTGTTGAATTCATCAATAGCACATATACCCATATCTGCCAATACCAGCGCTCTGCCTTCAAGAACCATCTCATTAGTTACTAGGTCTTTCTGAACATTAGCAGTTAGACAAACTTCACTGCTTCCCTTACCAGTTTATACTCTTAAAAAACCAACACACTCATTATGATGCTTTACATTGGTTCTTGTGAAGATATTGCAATAGATTTTGGATTACGAATTGATTGGAAAGCTAAGTGAAACAGGCAGTTGTCTTTGCAATATCGTCAAACTACATATGTAAAACTGCTAGAAGAAGCCAACATGAACTAGTCTAATGCGGTATGGGCATGACTAATCCTTTACAATTTAATTTTCAGATTGAATGCTCCAGTATGGCTGACATGGCACAAGAAATTGTAAAACTCAATGGATATTCCGATGGTGAGAATGATGTTACCACTATCATTTACCTTGTGACATGTATTCTGGTGTATTTATTCTGATGCTACTTTACTGAGTCTGTTCTCTTTCTATCTCAGTTATAACAGTTATCAAGGGCAAGGTGGAGGAAATTGACTTACCCGTTCCACAAGTGGATATTATAATCTCTGAGTGGATGGGATACTTTCTGCTGTACGAGAACATGTTAGATACAGTTTTGTATGCTCGTGACAAGTGGCTGGTAAGTTACTCTGCTTGTGATGATGTACAGCTTTTCATTTGGATTAATGATGATGTACAACTTGTCATTTGGGTTAATGATGATGTCAGCTCTTCAGGATAGGTTTTCCGTGCTAGTGATGTGACTGCCTGTTCATGAATATATACAGATTATGTTTTGAGTAATTATATGGATGAAGAGAAAGCATGAACCAATATTAGGTTGAGTACTTTTATGGATGAAGAGAAATTGTATGTAGCACAACAGATACTTATCTATGAAGAAAATATATTTAGTAATTTGAAGAAACCATGAAGTAGACCCAAGACTGTTGGCCTAGTGCTTTAATGAGTTAACCCCTTAATGCAGTTAAAAAGATTGCAGGTTGAACTGAAAAAAGCTGCGTGTGAAATATTGTTTCCATCTGTCCATTCATCAATAATTCCAGTGAATGACACGAGCCAGTACAAACTACGGGGTGCTCATCCCCAAAGATGCCATATTTCAAATTTATCTTTTAAACTTGTTTATCCAATTAAGAAGCTAATTTGACTATCTATTGTCTGAATTGCCTGAATGATTTTGGATATTGATGAGAATTCCGTGAAAGTTTTTTCTCAACTTTTTGATGGATTTTCCTACTTTGTGGTGTTTTTGCTGTTTTGTGCAACAATGAAATAAGGCTTTGCAGTACACGTGGTGCCGTGTCCTGAATTACACTTGATAGATCAACTATATGTTGTGGGTTTGAGAGATTTAAGAGGGGAGACGGAAATGATGTCACAAAGTAAAAGGTCTGAGCAGGAGAAAGTGTCGATAGTAATGAAATATGTGTGGAACGAGGAAGAGGGCCCCTGTCCTTTTCCAAGCTATGATACTGTGACATTCGCAACCTCTTCTATATTAATTAGGCCATGCTTATTGTTGAAGCTTGGTCACGGGTTCAAAAGAAAGGCGTGATTACATTCTACCATTGAATGCTAATCTAGATTTTGCCCCGACATTTTGTTCTCACATGTGAAACATATTTCAGCTATCGTCACATTCACTTGCAGTGATCAAACCTTCTTGCTGATCCTCCTCCCTAACACCTTAGATGGACTAATCTGGAAAAGGAAAAAAGACAACAAAAGCAAAGGAGAAAAGATGTGATTGTCTTGTGCTTGTGCTTGGACATTATTAGAGTGCTTCTTTGGTGATTGATTTCCTACTAAACCATATTGAACACTAAAAAGAAAGTTGAACGGTGAATGTGCTATAATGATTTATCATTTTAGTCAACTGTTGGGAAGATGACTTTGAAAATAGGGCTTCTTTAGGCAATGAGAATGAGTACTTATAGTTGGTGTCCGTCTTGCTCTTGATTGAGGACTTGAGGTGAATGAATGATTTCACTACAAAAGTTACGCGTTTCCCCTTGAACCAGCTCTTTCATATTGTTGCTTTCGGGAGATATTGCAGTTTGGTTAGATTAGCTTGCCAAACTATTGTCAAACTGGATGTGTTCACTTGTCTTGGAGGTTTTCTAGTTTGATTGATGATTTATAGTTACATTCTTTCCCCTTACAGGTAAAGGATGGTCTTGTTCTGCCGGATAAAGCTTCTCTCTATTTGACAGCTATTGAAGATGCTGACTACAAGGCTGATAAGATCGAATGTAAGCTTATTCCTCTTTCCCATTTTGTACTTGATGAATTATGATTTGCCATAGTATTTTCTATTTAGTATGCACTTCGAATGTATTTTTTCTAGCGGCATCAGTTTTTTCCCACTAGTGGGGCTAACTGTCATCTTATATTCCATTTTTTGCTTGCGTTAATTTGGTCCTTCTTATGCTACTGCAGTTTGGAATGAGGTGTATGGTTTTGATATGAGCTGCATCCGGAAGCAAGCTATGATGGAACCTCTTGTTGACACAGTCGATCAGAATCAGATTGTTACAAACTGCCAGTTACTCAAGGTAATCAGGTCAAGTTTAGTTGCCATGGGATTTATTGAAATAGCTGTATAATGTATAATCTTGCCTTTTCCCTTTACTGACAATGGATCCTTCCCTTCAGACAATGGACATTTCGAAGATGACTTCTGGAGATGCTTCCTTCACTGCCCTCTTTAAGCTCATTGCAGAACGTGACGATTACATCCATGCCCTTGTAGCATACTTCGATGTCTCTTTCACGAAGTGCCACAAGTTGATGGGGTTCTCAACAGGTTCGTACTTTTGTCCTTGCATTTGTTTTTGTTGCTTTTAGCTATGACATTAGTCTTTGCAGTAATCTCCTTGCAGTTTTTCCATATATTAGTCATTTCTGCTTTATCAATTTCCTTTTCCAGAGAGTCTGGTGCTTAGATTAGTCACTTCATAATTTTCTTTTTTACATTTTCTTGGGGTTTTGAGGGAGAGAGTATGAGGGGAGTGAAAAGTTTATGCCACAAACATGGCTCTGAGGATTACAGTAGATGAAACCCTTTCTTCTCTTGTATCAGCTCATGNCAAAATCTCGGGGCACACATTGGAAGCAAACAGTTCTCTACCTGGAAGATGTGATAACCATTTGCCAAGGGGAAGCTGTAGTTGGAAGCATTACTGTGGCTCCTAACAAGAAAAATCCTCGAGATGTTGATATAATGCTCAAATACTCTGTAAATGGTCGGCACTGTCGTGTCTCAAGAACTCAATATCATCGGATGCGATGATGCATAAAGTTGAAGCTCCTTCCAAAAGGAATCAAAGTTATTTATATTCTCTGTTTATTGTTTGTCCCACCAAACTGTGGGTTATTTTCCTTTCTGTTTGCTCAGTTACACAACCAAGAAATTCATTTGCTGCATTGTCTGATTGAGGCCAAAGAGGCAATTGTAACCAACCATTATAAAGTGACGTTCATGTTTCTGATACGCTGGTTAAACTTACCAAAGTGCCAGGTACGACGTAATTTTTCCCTTGGATAAAGGTGATTTGTTGTATTATTAGATTAAGTACAATTTTTTATGTGTTATTGTTGGTGAATGTTAATGCATCCTAGAGTGATTATTTGTATTTATTCCGGTGTACAATTCATTCTGGAATAAATTCCAGTCATATAATTGGACAGAATTCCTCCGCCCCTAAACAGTCTGCTGTATATGTTATTGCAACTCCTTTTCGTTTTTGGTCAAAATACATTATTGCAACTCTTAACGTTTTGGATAACTCCACTAAAATTTACTGCTCCCTCCGTCTCAATATTGTGACATTTCTTGCAACTCAATATTTTAAAATTAAAATGTTATTAAAAAATTATATGAAAGGTATTGTAAGTTGCATTTCTTCTCATATCAATATGATGAAAATACATTTTAAAATATTGGTAAAAGTTTACATTTACCTTTGCTTCGAGGGACAAGCAACCGAACCAAACCGACAAAAAAATAGATATTTTTAGGTTTGGTTTGGTTTTGGTTTTAATCAAGAAATAATCGAAAAAATCGAACCAAACCGATTATAAAAGTAGCTATTTAAATTTATTATTACACCTAGTATAATATTTAATATTATACTAGTAACTTACTAGTATAATATTTTCTTTAAATTAATGTCAGGGAAAAGGAAAATAATTGAATCTGTTTTAGCTGCAGAATAAATCTCAGGCCATAGATTGGCAAGATTGCATGGCAGCATGGCGTTGTTTAATAATTAATATAGTAAAAGAATTCGAGTCCAATTTTCGAAGAATTTTAATTCCCAGCAGGGATTGGAGAATCTCCTATTTTCAAGGAATTTTGATTCCCTGCCCAAATATTTTGGCCCTATATACGGCAACAGAAACAATAAAATTTTAAAACAAAAGGAACAATTGCGATCCCCTACTTTAATTTCCTTCTCCAACGTAAACACAAGTCCTTCCTCTTTAATTGAAAAGGTGCAGTTGGTCAATTCTGTTACGTTGTTGAAATAAATACAAGTTAAGATTAAGAGACTGGACAGGGCTTTCGGATTTGGTACTTGACTTGATTTTTCAAGAGTTGCCTTCCTTCTCCGATTGCTTATGCTTTGGCCCTGTCTGTAAGTCATGGTTTTTCTACATTGTCAACCCAAGAATCCACATTTGTCGGGTTGGACAGTTTGGGAGATGAAGTCTTGTTCTTGTCTCAGCATAGTTCAATTTCTGTTTTGGCTTCCAAGTTTTCGGGATGCAAAGCGAATTCTATATTCTATATGTATCTGTATGGCTCGTCGTGTAAGCCTGGGACATCATTCACCTTCAAGATGGCAGCTTCAACACTCATTTTTCTTTCATGATAAGCTTGTCTGGACACTATTAGTTAATAATGTTCCATGCATTAATGTCTTTTGGATTTTTTTTTGTTTTTCCTGCTTGGAGGCTTGGGTTTGTTTATCCAATATAACACCTAATGTGACTATCTACCTTTCTGAATATTCTTGAGAAATTCTTTTTTGTTTTTCTTTCTAATTTTTAATGTGGATATATTTTACTATGTGGTTAATGGTACACTTGCTGCCGAGGAACTATCTGATCTTCTCGAGCACAAAATAGGTAATTGAGAGATAGAGCTAGCTTATTTATTATGAAAAATCAATGCTCCGTACCAAAATCAAAACAGATTTGGAATTGTGACTAATGCCCTAACATTCAATCCCAAAGCAATTAGGAATGCAATTTCGTAGACTTAATGTCCAAATCAAATAACATAAACCTTGTATAAAAATAACATCCAGTTTCGAATCAACACACGAATTAATAGTCCATAAGAAATTAAATCAAAATCCATACGCGTTCTCTGTAAGGCTGCTAGGGAAATTTTGTGCTGAAATCTGATTATGGGGGCAAGATCCAGCCCAAAAAACTTTTCTATGAAAAATTCATTTGTCTCTAAAAATCCGAACTTTGCCATATAAATTAGAACGGAGTGAGTATCACTTTGGCCGACTATCTAACAGAAAAATTATCTCCCAAACTGCACTATGGCCGATTGGCCACAACTTTGTAAAAATGACACCAAGTAACCATTCTAAAGGGGTGCTATTTAGAAATTAGCCAGTACATCCTGAATTTCAATAATTTCTATTAGAGACGACTTCATCCAAAATATCAAACATAATAAGACCTCGGATTAAAAATGAAGGTATTTACCTACAATAATGGTGGACCACCTTGTTTACATAACTGAAACACTTTTCCCAAAATGAAAACATGTTTTAGTTCTGGAAAAAAACAATTTTGACCCTTTTGTTTTTTTTATGTTTTTTTTTTCAATCACTTCTTTTATTATCCAAAATTATGCCTTTTTGCAAGTAAATATTTAATCGGTTTTAATTTAAAGTTCCTATTCGGCTCTTCAAAATATTTTTCAAAATCAACTTTTGTCAAATCCAAACATCATCTTATCTTTCTTTCAACAAACATTATATATATTATTTACTTCCAAAATTAAACTCATAAATTCTCCAAAATTTAACGAAAATCAAATCTATTTCCAATATACGCACAATGGAACTATTGGACCTTCGATTGGAGGTAAAGGATATTTGCTGGCGAAAAAGAAAAACCTCTCCTTATCATAGTTTATTATATGCCAATTTTCTATTAAATTATATAAAAAAACAATTAAAATATAACCATTAGAAGGAATCAAATCATTTTAACGAAGAAAGTAATTCCACCATAACTTATTATATAAATGGTAAAGTTTTTCTCTTACATTTCGTACTACATATTTTGGAAAGAATAGAATCAATAGGTACAGGTAATGTAAAAGTAAGATTATTATTTTTTAAAGAGGAATTTTCAGAAATGATAATTGTTTAGTGGCTATTAATTTGCTATAGCTACCATTTACTTAATTACGTCCTATAGCTATGTTTTTACTTGTTATAGAGTGTATTCAATGTATTCAAGCTACTGTATTCATGAATACAGTAGCAAAACTCGGTGGAAAATAAGGAAGTCCAGCTAAACATAGATTGTATTCGTATGTATTTGCGAGCTGTATTCGTGAATACAGTAACAGAAATCTGCGAAAAAAAGGTCTTCCGCTGTTTAGAAACGGTAAGTGAATCAATTAATGCGATAGACTCCTAATATAACTCAACAAACTCAATTATAACACACAAAATTTGTATTTCCAGTTATAGAAAAGATTCTCGGCTAAAAAACACCCCAAAAATAGAGCAAACTTCAGAGATTCAATCAATCCTTTCTTTTTTTAGCTGTATCTTTACTAAACTATTTTTTAGTGGTATCTTTACAAATAAATTTATATATTGAAATTATATAATTACATTGAATACAAGTAAATAAATAAAAATACATTGAATACATGAAGTATAGCAGGTTATCAATAGTGCAAAAACATATGAATACATACTGCAGATACATTTGAATACATATATACATCTGAATACATAAATTATATTAATTAAAAAAACATATGAATACATTCTACAATACATTGAATACAGTTAAATACAGTGAATATAGTGAAAAGTAGAAAAAACTAAAGAGAGTGAATACAATGAAATACATGGAGCGAGATACATTGAATACAATGAAAATATAGGTAACAGACTCTTCAAGTTCCTCAGCCCCAAACTCCGTCCTCAATCCACCGATATCCAGGCCGCCGCCAAGTGGGGCGCCACCGCCGGTACCGACGCCCTCTGGGTCATCCAGGTAGTGAATCTCTCATTTCTACTTTGAAAATTTTGAGATCTCCACTTGTATTTCTCCGGATCTTTGTTTCTTCTTTATCTTTTTCTGTTTCGTTTTGTCTTGTCTTTTCCATTCAATTCCGATACCGGCGAAAACCTATCAACTTGAGAATTGTGGTTGTATTCATGAGAAGAAACTAGTGTTGAGAGAGAGGGTGGAAAGAGATCGTGGTTGAGTTGTATACAGAAAGTAGGAGAGAGAAAAATATTACCCAGCGTATTTAATGACTAAATAATAGGAAGTGACCACAAATACATATTTTACTATAAAACCTAAAAGGTAGCTATATAAAATAATACTTTAAAAGAATATTTATTTATAATAAATAAGGTGTAAAGCTTTGATACAGGAGGTAAAATTTCACTTTTGAAATCCTATTTGGTATTAGTACAAAATTAAGTGTAGTTGAATTTGGTCTAATGCACGGGCTTTTTTGCAGCTGATCGCATAACACAAAAGTAATCTTTCACATAATTCAATATAATATCTAGTTGACGCCTGACGGTATTAAATAATGCACATATTAAATTATGCAAGAATCTCTATATTATTTATGTGAGATAAAATTGTAAAATAGAAATACGTATTTTAAAAATACAGATATTATATTATTTAAAATAAAAAAATATCTTTATTATAATCCTACATATCAATTTCATGTCATTATCATATACATCGTCAATGTAAATAACTTCTTATATTATCTAAAGAATATTTATACGAAAACCACCTTAAGATGCGAAAGTTGTAATTTTAAAAGTCGTTACAGTTCGTTTGAATGATTGTTACATATGCATTCTTACTGTATCATATCTTATTGTATAAATTGTATCTTTGTCCATCGTCTATAATAGTGATGTACATAGGTCGGGTTGATTCGGATTTTATAATTACCAAACCAAATCAATTGTGTCAGATTATTAAATCTAAAGACCAAACTAAACCAATAAAACTCGGGGTTTTCACTCTCGGTTTTTCTCGGATTTTCTCGGATTTTCGGGTTATTCGAGTTTTTTTGAGTTTTTTTCCGGTAAAATCTTTGTAGAACAAAACATATAAATTGTTCTCAAAATATTTCTTTAATCCTAGTAAGATACAACTATATAAAGTATTTTTCAAGAAAATAATACAAAATATAAGATATGTCATGGTATTATCCTAAAATATTCAACAATAAAGACAATAAATTATGCAATATAAATATAACTAATTAAAAAGCCATAATAAAAATAAACATAATCTAAAAGTACTAATAAGGGAGTATTAATTACATGACTAAACGCTAAAGAAAAAATAAAAATAAGTTATGCATTTTTATCTAAATTATTGCA